GGAGATTTACTACTAATCACAGGGCTTTACTGACGAGATGCGCATGAAAATCGCATTCGATTTTTTTTGCACAGCCCTAATGTAAGATATACAAAACTAACTTTATGCTTCAAATCTGTTAAAGACCTATAGCTGTTGCTAACATATTAATTTATATCAATACACATGTCTTTAATTGTGATCACCAAGTTTCCACAAGGCTCCCATTACAATCCAGTTAGCCACATATGAAGGTCACTGGCTGTACACATAAGACCTGTTGAACAATCATTTAGAGCCTCTTAATCACTTCCAAATTGAACAGTCACTTACAGCTCTATTTCAGTAAACGCAGTGTGCTTTTTACATGCTAATGGTTGGCCACATGCAGCATGCATGCCTCCAGCCACAGACACCTACAAACATGGAATTGCTTAGAAATTGTTGTGCGAGGACACTTGCACTGAATCATCATTAAGAGTAGGTTTGCAATCTGGTGGGGATGAGAGATTTTTCCGCCACAGGTGGGGGGGGGGGGGGGGGGGGGGGGGGGTTGCAGGGTGGTAGGTGAAGGTGTGAAGTGCAGATCAGCCGAGGCTGAGGCTCTCACACAGGTGGAGGGATAATGGAAAAAGAGCTGCCATATTGTAGAGAACCTGGGGCAATCTGGGGTTAAGAGAGGGTATCGCAGAAGTGGGCAGAAAAAGAAACAGGCTCATTACGGCAAGCAACTAGTGGGCCTCCTGCTGCTTCAAATCCACACCAGCCAAAAAAAACAGGAGCCTTTTGGCCCGCAGAATCATCTCGTCTACATTTAACATCTCTATGTTATGGTCCTGTGGGGATTCGATGAAGCTCACAAGCAGCATTAGGGAAGGAAAGCATGAATTTGTCATTCGTCACTTATAAAAACCTGTGTTTTTCATACATGGTACCATTGTGAATGCCTTGAGCACACTGTAAAATGTGCGGTTATTATCTAAAGGTGCTAATTCTACCTGACCTGACCTTTAGAAGGGATATTTCACCAAGAAACGAAAATTCTGTCATCATTTACTTACCCCCAAGTTATTCCAAACCTGTACGAGTTTCTTTCTTCTGCTGAGCACAAAAGAAGATATTCTGAAGAATGCTGACCAAATGGTTGACGGTAGCCATTGACTTCAATAGTATGGAAAAACAATACTATGGCAGTCAATGTCTTCTTTTGTGTTCAACAGAATAGAGAAACTAATGTAGGTTTGGAACAAGTGGAGGGTGCATAAATGATGACAATTTTCATTTTTGGGTGAATTATCCCTCTAAATCTATCTATCTTTCTATTACATGACTACCTATCTACCTGTCTATCTATCTGTCTATCTGTGTACATATATGACTACCTATCCATCTGTCTGTCTATCTGGTCTGTTTGACTAAAATATATAAACATATATGGCTATATCTATCTATCAACTGTCTACCTATATATCATCTGTCTATCTGTCTATCATATATGTGCATATATAACTATCTATATCTATCTATCTGTCTGTCTGTCTGTTTTTCTGTCTGGCATCTCACTCCATCTCACACACTAAGATCATGGGTTTCATTCCCAAAGAATGCACAAACCAATAACAAGTATCAGCCAATTGCATAAATATAAAAAATATAATATGCTAAATTCCCATATGGCATATAAAACTAAATTAGCCACTTAGATACCCACTTAATGCAGTTTTAATTGGAATTTTGTTGACCTATAGTGTGTCACCAGTCGAAACCCCGTGACCAGTAAAAACCACACGTTATCTGACACAGACATACAGCTTTCCTGTAAACACATCTGTGCTGCTCACCATTATTATGCATTCAAGACCCTTTTCTGTACCCCGGAGCTGTAAGCATAGACCCCTACTGCTAGGAACGACAACAATAAACAGTCATAACTCCTTATCATTTTATTGTCTGTTATTGTGTGTTTGCATTGAGGAGGGGCTCAGTGCCACAGCTGATGCAGAATGCTTTAAGCACACAAACAAATCCCCCCTCTCTGTTTCTCCATCCAATCTTTTGCCTCAACTCAAACCCACACATTCTTTTGTAATGAGAAGAAAATGAGGAAGCAGTTCCCAGAGCAGGCTGGTTTGAAGCTGCAGGCTGAACATTAGTAAAAGTGTTATGACTCCGCTGTCACTCCTCAGAGGAAAAAATAACCGGATGGAGGATTTTTTCTTTTTTTACTTTTTCTTTTTCTTTTTTAGGCAGTTACATAACAGCAGAATAGCAGGCGCCAAAGCCACTGACAAAAATATGCAAATTAAAATAGTTCTTGCTGATATTGGAATACATTTTAATTAAAACTGATGCGTGTGTGGGTAAGGGGTTGGGGTTTTGAAAATGTGCCCATAAATATGTCAAAAACTGACTTGTGAGGACATATGAAGTGGTTCTTATTATACGAAACAAGCAAAATCATGTTTTGGTTTCCATCTACTAATGCCAACTAGTTCCTTTGGGTGTTAAGTTTAGGGTATTGTTAATATCATTATCTTAATATGAAAATTATTGAATCTGTGAGAGGTCTTCACTTATAGAGCTTTAAAAGTCTGTGTGTGTAAAGGTACAGGTTTGAAAATACAGTAAAACACGTCGAAAACCAAGATGTGAAGGCATTTTAAGTGGTCACAATCACAAACACCTAAAAATGTTTTTGCTTTAGATCTCATAACGCAACAGGTTTAAGTGAGGGTTAAATTTAGGTGTAATGTATAGTGAATATCATTGCTGTTGTATGAAAACCATTTGGTCTGTTGGGAGGGGGTCTTTGAATTATAGCTTTAGATGTCTGTGTGTGTGGGGGGGGGGGGCACGTCAAGAACACTCTAAATTACTCAAATAGTATCATCCAAAATAATAAGCTACATCTAATTACACTAATAAAGAGAAAGAAACATTAGAAAAATTTAACGCACAACAAAAATGTCCCAAACAACATTTTGACACGCATGACTTCCTAACAATGTTAAACAGCACCTCTCTGTGGACACACGAATGTTGATCCATCAAATTTCATAACGTGGATGTTTCTTGAATAATTCTGTGCGAGATTTGTTTTAATATCTAGACTGTAGAGTACAAATATATTTCGGTTTTGTGTCCACAGCTTATATGGCACATATTGAGTACTGATATAGACAGCAAAATTCCCGCATCTATAGTTTCTTGGTGTGTGTGTGTGTGTGTGTGTGTGTGTGTGTGTGTGTGTGTGTGAGGGAGTCTGCGGGGGCAGCTTTCAAAAACACT